TAGGCATTTAGTCTGACCTGAAAATGGGACAGCACTAGAACGTTGCGTTGGGACAGAACGAATCTCTCGATTACCGAACCACTGTAGTATGTGGCTGAACACTGTTCGCCACTCATTCTCCAGCTGTCTTGTCGAACTTCCTGATCACCCCTCGAGCTAAAGTTCCTTGTCTGGCCTGTAGCTCCGGTTGACTATACACCGTAAGCGGCACGAAGCTGAATTCGAGAAAAAAAGAAATATTTTGCCACTACAGTATCTCTGAATAACACTTCATCACGTTATAAAGGCTGAGTATCCTTCATAACGCAAGACAGGTTGTCTAATCTTTTTCTAAATACGTTCCTAGCGCAATAAATTACTGCTCTTCTGAACTTTTTGGAAGCTTTATCGTCTTTCACGAAGTTCACTTCGTAACCAGAAACTTCGTTGCAATTGGAAAGCACTCATGTGCAAACTCATTTCGTCGTGCAAATAATTTCGCGACCACTCGCTGAGAAATCAACATAAAACTGAATTGAGGGATGCTCGACACAAGTAACAGAATTTTGCGCAAAGGTTTCGAGAAACCGTCATCCAGCAGTGTGTCGAACAAGGTTGATAATGATGAAGATGACAAAATTCGGGCACTCAGATGTTGCTCGTTTGGTTTCGTCGTCATTAGGACTTCGGATTCACAAGTTAGATATCGATTCCAAGGCTGGAGTAGTCGAAATTCGGATTTAATCTTGCGATAATTTTTACACTAGATAATTGCTATGAGGTTGGTGAAAAAAATTGCAGTCCAAGAGAGTCCTTGCATGGGAGAACATAATCGAACACTCGTTTTCTCGATAAGATCCGATCAGAATACTTTTATTCTCAAGTAACCGACTTCGTAGCCACTTGTCAACTGATTGTGGCGTAGCAACGTGTGGTTAGTTGTTTAGCTTAGAAAATTTACAATAATGATTAAAGTTATCAGTTGTGTGGATTCGGCCTGGCACTTGCATAGTTCAAAACCGACCTCCAAGTCACTGTGTCAGAATGTCCCCGTTTGGTTTAGAACAATCGGCCAATTCAATCCAAAGGCACTAGCTTTGGCTGTAATAGTTTATTCCTAAAAATGCAGGCGATAATCGGCAATGAAATCATTTCAACGCAGAATGTCGATATGATTCGTATAGTAAGAAACATACTAACGAAGTAATGAATTTTACAAATGACATGTGAATCACTAACAAATGATACTATTCAAATTTGAACGTCGCCTTCATATTTGTGAATTAAAAGATTCTGTTCGGCTTCGTGTAATTTTTATTAATCTATAAGCATCTTGTTCCGTAGCTTGAATATTAGTTGACAGCATTTTTTGCAGGTAATTTTTAATGATGTTTGTAGAAAATGAAAAATTGGCCAATGGTTTTGCCGAAGCCATATGAACATTTTGACAATTCGTAGTTTCGAATTCGTTGAGGTCTGTATTTGTTAAAGGTAGAAAGGCTGACATGAAGTTTCTAGTTACACAGGGTGGAGGGTGGTAAAAGTTTATAACTGATCTGTGTGGGGCCGCTTCGAAAAGGTTTGATGTAAATCGTCTGTCGCCACCTGAGGCATTGTTTTACAGCAAAAATTTTTAATACTGATCTATTGCATCCCTACATCTGATTGGTCTTTTAACATGAAAAATATTGTGAAATCTAGATGAGATTTGTTTGGGTTAACAACCCAAAAAAAAAATTGACCACGTGTGAGAAATGAACGTGGTCGAAAACCTACTTCTAACGTCTACTACTATGTCCTGTGTTAGCTAGTATTTTGTACTAGTGGCTTTTTTCTGTTCAAAGAATCGGAGAAGTGGAGCAAGTGCCTCGACGGATTGGGTTTTCTTTTGCCGAAGCTCATATGAGGCCCATGATTAGAAACGTTGAGCACACAGTCTGATGCGTCTGCTTCGTGAACCGAAAGGATAAGCGGTCATGGAATCCGTCTGACTAAGAATTCATTGAAACTATGATGGAATTACTTAAGAATAAGGAAAACTTCATTAGAATAAACATCTTTATCT